AAAATCATAATTTCTTGGAACAAGAACAAGAACTAGATGAAAACATGATTTAATCAAAAGTAGGACTTTAGAAATCAAGAATCCAGATGAATTTCACAATAAAATATGTATTTTGGGAAAACTAGGGTTTTGAAAATTCAAGAACAATTATTCCTTGAACCCAAACATATAGTTTGTTCAATACCCCGTTTCGATGATAAACAAACCAAGAAATCATAAGTATTTATTATATAACTATCAAGAAGATTGAAAACATATATATATAATATCCTAAGCCTCAATGGAAAAACTTGAGAAGAATCCCCTACTTTGGATCCGTAGTTTGTGTGTAAACCTAGTATGTTTGATCCGTTCCAATGTGAGAATCTCCCTTCTATCTTGTGTTTCTCTTCATCTCTCTTTCTCTCTAATGTTTTCTAAGGTTAAGAACTGATGAAATAGGGCTAGGGGAGGCATCCTTAGGTATTTATAGGATGAGAAAACAATGTATTTGATGAAAATATGATACCCAAAATTGTGATAGCATGTTCAAACAGACCCATTCAAGTTCAAACGGACTCTAATTTTACCCGAATTTCCAAGGAAGTTTTAACCTAGTTAGAGGTCGAGTTAGTAAATTGTCATGAAGTATAATTTTATAGCCCTTGAAGTCTAGTTTCAACTGTACAAAAATAAGCTCAATCAAAGTGCAGATTAAAAATTTAGGACTAAAATACTAAGGTAATGTCAAATTCATTCCTACCCAAATCCTCACAAAAATAGGTTTTAACTCTAGAATACTTCTAAACTTCTAATACATCTCATATAACATCTTCCAAGGTTTTTCAACCTTTCGGATTCAAAGGAAACCTTATTTTTACCTAAAAATATTTATAAAATTACTTAATCACCCTTCTCAAGTTTAAACACTTTCGAAACTAAGTTGGACCCGAAAGTCAATTCGTCCGAAACTCAAACTTCATGATCAATATTTTAACAACAATTCGAGGTTTTTACAATCCTTTTATTCATCCTAGGATAAGTATTAATATGGTATCATTCTTATTTAATTCTAGTACAGGGTCTTACAGATTTGCAGGTGTCAAGGTGGTCCAGTGGATCTTTTGAATCATCAAAAACTTCCATTGTCGGCATTTTGAAATTTGAAGGGAGGGGTAGTTGAACACATCGGCTATGAATTGTGTGTCAGTGAACCTTAAAAGGTGTTTGAATGTTTTTGGCTCTCTTGCCTTCATGGCATCGAAGACGTCGCCTAGCTAGTCTTGTACTTCTTTGATCTTCTTATCTCAGTGAATGGGAATGCCTTTTGGATTGTTGTAGTGACTTTCTTGGTCATTGGCATTGAAGGATTGAGCAGGTGCACAAGGAAGAGAAGTCGATGCACACTAAGATAGGGGCGTTCTGGGTGTCTTGGTGTGCGGGTCAGAGTGCCTAGGGCATTGTGCCTCCATTCTGATGTGGCGCGGCACCTCCTGGATGTTGGGGCGCAACTCCTCCTAGCTGTTGGGGCATGGCTTGCCCAACAAACATCAATTGGAGGATTTGTTGGTTTTGGTTTACCAACAACTGCATGATCTCCAATAGTTATGTCTCGACAACGGGGTTAGCTGGAGGTGGCGGGACCTCGTCCTAACGTGGTTGATCATCATTTTGTTGACTCATGGACCTAGTAGCCATAAAATGGAAAGATAATAGAAAAAAATGGGAAGATAGTAGGGTGAAAACTTAAGTCATTCCCACAAAAAGATGCCAAACTGATGATGAACAAAAGTGTTTATGCAAAATCAATTAAGGATGAAGTAAAGAAGGCTCAACACAAGCAGTTTCAAAGATTAAGTGGTTTGGTCTTGGTTACCTACTCAACTAGGGATGGCAACAATGGTTGGAGAATCTTATTACGTAAGAAATGTAGTGTGCTGAGATGTGTGTGATGTTCTGCATGTGTAGGCAAGGTTTACAATTTATAAGCAAATGAAGTTGGCCCGAGGGGCTCTAACGGAGACACCATCCTTGTAACAGGGAGCATGGTGATTCCGTGAAGCTCGCTTTATCCTCATAACAGGTGAGGTGATAGCTGAGTGATTCCTTGAAGCTCGCCATACCTCGTAACGAGTGAGGTGATCTTGCGATACGGATTCCATCCTCTAGAATTGAGACTCCCACGTGTGTTGGTGGCAGGTTGAGTTTCACAAGAAGGCGGACTTGGTCCAACTGAAATTATAACTGGGCCTTTGTTGGTCCGCATCTGTGGTCTAACCTTGGTTTGTATTCTGGGCCTGATCTGTAATTCTAGGTCAGGTCTGGGCTGGACCCATCAAATTTAAATTTTATTTAGATCTAACTCGGAGATATAATCTCTAGACCTAAATTAACTACAAGTTTGGAATTGAAAATGAGTTTCATCAAATGTTGGAACTCACAATTAATCTAATAAATATATTAAATTTTGTCATTTATAGCATTGCTTTGGATTTAATTGATTGTTTGAACTCGTTTATTGTATTTGGGACGGTAAAATGTCAAAATGGCTTTTGGAGCGTCGAACGAGTTAGGGCACAGACTATGTCGCGTTGTTCAACCAACACGCTTAAGCCAGCTTGCACAGCCTATTAACATCCGGGGTTAATCTCAACTTGCACTTGAAAAGATGACTCAAATCTCAATTTACACCCTCAAAGTTTAAAAATATTAATTTACACCCTGAAAGATACAAATATGTATCAATGTGCACCTGGGACTAAATAACGTCTATTTTGCGGTTAAAAAAGCTTGGGTTAATTATAAATTGTACCCCTTAAATTTTAAATATTTCACATTTATGATCCAAAATTTTTTTTATCAATTAATACTCATTAAATATCTCTCAATTGTATGGTGTTATAACATTTTTGTGTCATATTCAAGTCAATAAAAAAATATTTTTAACACAATATTTTCGTGTCGAGTCAACTCTATTGTGACATATATTTCACATTTACAACAATTCATATTATACTATTTAACATTTTTTAAAAAGGTTAATCTCAAATTGCACCACGAAAGATCATTTCAATATCAATTTGCACTATCAAAGATAAAAAATCTTAGTTTACACCTTCAAAGATAGAAATTTGTATCAATGCGCATCTCAAATTAACAGTCGTCAGTTTACTGTCTAAAAATAAATGAATAAATTGCACCTAGACCCCTTCATACTTGTCCCTTAATCACCTAGACCCCTCACATTTGAAATATTACAACTACATCCCTATAGAATACAAATATGACTAAAAATGTTCCTCCAATTAGGCATCTAAATAATTATGTTTAAGTGATGTATTACATTGAATATAAAGAATATTATATAAATACCTGCATTATAATGGGTTTTCAAGTAAGCTTGATTTTGAACTTTAGAATATAACGGGCCCACAAAATAAAGGATAATATAAAAATTATAATTTTTTATTAGGATAAAATCATTTTTTTTAATGGTTATATTAACAGATATCAACGACAATGGGTTATATGTTACACGTGCACAAACGTCAGGAGGTGAAGGAGTAATATTATAAATGTGAGGGGTCCCAATCATTAAGTAACAAACAAGAGGGGATCTAGGCATAATTTATCAATTTAGGTATAGACGGCAAACTGGGTATTGTTAGTTTCGAGTACGCATTGATACAAATTTCTATTTTTGAGAGTGCAAATTGAATTTTTTTTTATCTTTAAGAATGCAAATTGAAATTTGAACGATCTTTTAGGGTATAATTTGCGATTAACTCTTTTTAAAATTAAAAAAAAAAACCTATTTTTTGCCTATAATACTGGTTAAACAACTATTTTCTATCTACAGTTGTGTTATTTGTATTTAATTTTTAATTTGATCAGACAATTAAAAAAAAATTCTAATTGTAAACATAAAATAGCTATTTAACGAGTATTGTAGGCAAAAAATTGATATTTTATAAATTTTTTTAAAATTTTTAAAATATCTTTTTATTGACTCAAACACGACATAAAGATGTTATGACACTATACAATTGAGAGTTATTTAAAGAATATTAATAGATGAAATTTTTTTTGGATTATACATATGAAATATTGTAACTTTGAGGAGTATAATTTACGATTAGCCCAAACTTTTTTAATGGTAAAATGAACGGAGTTAGTTCCAGGTGTACATTGATACGAATTTATATCTTTCAAGGTATAAATTAATATTTTTAAACTTTGAAAGTACAAATTAAAATTTGTATGATTATTCAGGGTACAAGTTAAAATTAGCCCTAACATCAGTTGAGGCTTATAAAATAACAGTCAACTCTAATCCAAGGTTTCAAAAATTGTGAAACAACCTGTACAAAAATAATAATAATAATAAATATTGAACTGGAAAACCCCTATAAAGTTCGAGATTAAATTACAATCAACCCCAGACTGAATTGGCATCACATTGTTCACCACTCCTTTTTTTTCTCCCTACATTCTATTCTATTACATTCCCCCCCCC